AACACTTACAATAAGGTAGGTTTACTATTTTCAAGGAATTATTTCGTTACTTTTTAGTGTACTGTTTTTTTTGAGAATATTTTGTTTTTTACTTTTTTGATCGAAATTATGCATAGTTCTTAAATTCAGTAAATTTTATTTTTATATAGAATGTATAAAGATTTACGGCCTACTGTTTGCAATTAGTTACTACGTATGGAATTTGGGCGTAGCGGAGCAAAAGACGAATGCCTTTGTGGAGGAATTTGAGATATTTGAATAGAAGAATAAATTGTATTAGCTTTAATATAAATTGTAAAAGCGTAGAAGAGCTTCATAACTGTGCAGTTGCAAATATTTTTTGTTACATTTTAATGGAAACAAAATTTGTTTCTAGCAGTAAGCCTTGTTAAAAAATACTCCGGTTAGTGGACTATTTACTTATGTAGGATAGATTTGTAGTTCACCAAAGATTCTACATAGAACTCCATTGAGTTTATCTCTAACAAATACATCACAATAATCATTTAGTAAAACAGAATATTAAAAATGTTACGTTATTTTAAAATGTTCTTTCCTTGAATTGATCCTTAATCATTAATTTACATGCGAATTTAGCCTAGAATACAACTATTTTAATTTAATGTCAGGGCCCGAAAGTATTTTGTACTAGTTATACAGATAAAGTGAAATAAATTTTTTTTGAGTAGCTAAACGTACCAACGGAATACGAGAAAAAGTTTGGTTATAAAAACATAAAGATGTTCTTTGTTTATAAACTAAATAATGAAATAATTGGGTCCTTCGTACACAAGTAAACATAAGTCTTTTAAAATAACATTAACTATATTGTTATAAAATATCGCTTAGCACGATCCATGCATACATTAGATCGTAGACATAAATCTTCTATTCGGTAATGAACTGTAGTGATAGGTACATACGAATTTGCAAAATGTCAACTGTATAGATTTGCTCCACCCTATTGTATGGACGAAAAAACTGTCTACCAACCTCTATGGCATTGCGTAGTTAGCTTGCCTCAACCCTCCTTATACGAATATTCACGTCTCTTTGTGTACTATAGACCTTATACTAGTATTTACGAGGGCGTTAAAAATTCAAGGGCACTAATTATTAAAAGTCAAACGTTGTTCGTAATATTTGTATTGTTTTTGTGTAAAAGCTATTGAAATACATTTGCACACTTGTCACAGATAACTAGCTATGAATTACATTACAAAACACCTGAACATACAATTTGGGTCACTTTCAATGGTTTGTAATACACATTTATTCAACAGATAATGTACATAATATGTGTTGGAGGTCGCGGAGAAACATTATTGCCTTAGCGTAAAGTAAATAAAGAAGTTGATAAATGATCATATAGTCGTTGAATTCCACTGTCGAAACCTCTATACATATTGTTATCTCCATTTTTTAAAAGGGAATTACAATTGTGAGGTATTTCAGCAATGAAAATCCACGACTACGCGTTTTTAACTATTTCTAGATGCTCGGAAAAAATGTGTGTTTAATTTTATTTTAATTAGTCCGTGGCATTTATGATAACTTAATTTATTCGTTAGTTTTATTTATAGTGCATAAAGTAAATTGCGTCTCAGTGCGGGGTACCGGTAAAAGCGAATCCCTTTTTATTTAATAGAGAAGTACAATGGGTTGTTTCAAAGAATGTCGAAAAGTGTGAGATATAGGATCACACAATGAAAAGGTAAATTTTGTATTTGTCATAGATATAACGATAACTATTACTTTGGAGAAATATCCACAGTTTCTGTTACCTGCTTCGAAATACGTCTTTTTTTTAATAGATTAATGTTTTTTAATAGATGTAGAATAATGTTTTAAACCGTACACTAAGTGCGTGCTCGAAAATAATATTCAATATACGCCAACCTGAAGCATAATATTTTTAAACGTAACCGTGAAGAACAATCGAAATGTAATTTTACACACATAACTTATTGACAAGGGGTTTCATAATCATGAAGCGGAACAAACACTCGCGTATGTGTAAATACGTTACAAGGCGAATGATTTGTTTTTCAGTATGGGTCGGATCGCAGCCGGAGCAGGAGGAGGGCAGGGCGTGGTTAAGCAACCAGCCACCACCAACGGGAGCCTGGCTATACGGCTTCGATACCTCTTCCTTATCGCCACCGTCTTCGGAGGAAGCTATATCATCATATCCCTCACTACATACACTAACACCATATTTGTCACCAACGAGGCGCAATTCGGCTTCTCGCGGGACTTGCACCATCAAAAAGAACCAAGTGAGAGGTACACGATACGAACTAAAGGCTGCAGTATACCAGGCCTCGACCCCTACGATGAACATATCAAAGAATTTGTAGAATTCCCTCGAGATATGGAATCATGTCCTAATGTCAATAAAACATTATTAAATAATAATAGGACGCACATTTGGGTGTTGCAAGATAATAAACCACATTATAATATTAGTGAAGATCAAGACTTCTCTTGTTGCTACAAGGCATTCCATCGACCTGCGACAATACAAGATATAGATGGTGTAGAAATAGACGATCGTATCAAGTATCAAGATTGTGTTTATTTTGATGATTTCATAAAAGTGACTGATGAATTTGTGCGAGTTTTCTGTTATTCCGATGGAGCAGAAATCTATCAACAATTTTTTTTATTCGCACCGCACAAAGAATTTATGTCCCATGGTACCAAAGAAATATCGGATGAAAAGCGAGCTTATAATGTGATAGTTATGGGCATAGATGCGGTTTCGAGGATGAACTTTCATAGGACGATGCCTAAAACCCTACAATTTTTAAAAAGCAAAGGTACAGTTGAATTAGTTGGATATAACAAAGTTGGCGATAATACGTTTCCGAATCTAATACCGCTGCTTCTCGGTATTAAAGAAAGTGAATTGAAAACAACGTGTTTACCTTATGATCAATTGACATTTGACAATTGTCCGTTTGTGTGGGAGTGGTTCAAGCAGGCGGGGTACTATACGGCGCTCGGCGAGGATTCTTCACTGCTCGGAAGCTTTAACTACTTGAGGGTCGGCTTCAGCAAAACTCCGACGGATTATTATCTCCATACCTTCGTAAATGAAGCTGAAACAAACGCTGGAAAAGTCAAAGATTTTAATTCGTACCTTTGCATGGATGAAAAATATTTTTTTCAAGTTTTATTAGACTACATAGAGGATTTGACAATAACACTTAGATCTTCGAAATTATTTGGATTTTTCTGGGAAATAACTATGAGCCACGATTATCTTAATTATCCAATGATAATGGACACCAGTTATGAATTATTTTTTAAGAAATTAGAAAGGTCAAACTATTTAGATGACACGATAGTTGTACTTCTAAGTGATCACGGTATAAGATGGGGCAAAATCAGGTCCACCAAGCAAGGACGATTAGAGGAAAGACTACCATTTGTAAATATTTTAGTGCCGCCATCATTTCGAGAAACATACGTCTCGGCGTATAACAATTTGCGAATAAACAGTCGACGATTGACCACACCGTTCGACTTACACGAGACATTAAATGACCTCGTAGATTTGAAGAATATTGAAGATGAAAAAATAAGATCTCGAAGTAATGAATTCTACGCTTATAAGAGAGGTATTAGTTTATTTTTACCAATACCGGATAATAGAACTTGTGAAATGGCAAGTATCGAAGATCATTGGTGTACATGTCATAAGGGTAAGAAGATTTCTAAGGATAACAGCGAAGCAATGGAAGCTGCAGCTCATTTGGTGCGTCAATTAAATTCTCTGTTAAGTGATCACGTCCAATGCGCTAAACTCGCTCTCTCGCAGTTAATCGATGTTACGGAAATGGAAGTAGGAACACCCAGTGTTGATGAAGTTGGTTGGCGCGAATTTATGGTCACAGTTGAAACGACTCCCGGTAATGGAATATTTGAGGCAACGCTCCGCCAAAGTAAAATCGAATGGACGCTGGCTGGTACTATCAGCAGGCTGAATCTTTACGGCGATCAAAGCATATGCATTCATAACTATCAACTGAAATTATATTGTTATTGTCAATAATGTGATCCGAATATACGATTAATACACATCCAATTTTAAACATTGTATTAAATCGAATACGATGTGGCAAGTGAAACATTATTGGAAAAATGTTTTTTGAGGACTATTTTTGATATGGACACGATACAGTTTCAAGAATACTTTAAGTATGCGGTTTATTGTATTATATACATTACGATAAACAGCATTGTTAATTATTTATAAAACATTTGTTTTAATTTTCCTTCAAATGATGCTTAATTTGAAGTTTGTTTTGTTATTAAATAAATTGTGAGCAGGCAATTATTGGGTATGTACTTTACCATAGAAATATTTGTAGCTACAGTTGTTATTTACAGAAAAGTCTGATATATTTTGTATGAGTATTATAAAAACATGCATCTTATTTAAACACTACAGAGATTTTTTTAAAAATCGTGATACAACCTGTGTAACGCCTATGGATTTTCGTTTAAAATATTTTACTGACTAGCAACACTTTAAATATTTGTCATTGTGTCAATGGTTGTCAATGTCATTCTAACCAATACAAAAATAGTGGTGTTAGCGGCATATTTACAGTATTTCTAAAAATGCGCAAGAGTTAAACAACCAATATATATTTTATCACAATGGCTCTTGCTTTTAGAATTTTGTACAGAAACAGTCGATATATTAACGATACAGTGATTCCTACGAAATGGTGTTACAAAACGTCGAATCCTGTACGAATCTTAGCTAGTGGTATATGTTATCAAAAAAACACTGTAGTAGTAAAGTCATTGAATAGAAACAATGAGATCAATTTACTAGCACCATTACGATCATGTGGCACACAGTACAATGGTGCGAAACAGCCAGCAGATTCAGAGCCAAAAAAAGGGCTGGTCCAAAGGTTTAAGGAAATGTATAGGGACTATTGGTATGTAGTTTTACCCGTACACATGACTACATCAGCTATATGGTTTGGGGGATTCTACTACGCAGTACGAAGGTAAGATGTCACAATGTAATTTGATGTTGATGTCATTTTAAATGTAGTAGTTTTTTGAAAATGATGAAATCTTGATGAAACTAAAGTATCAATCAGATATTTTAAGAATTTGTCATGTGGTTTCTTCCCCTTGCGAATCTTAGTTAGTATAATAGTACAAATAAAATAATTTGTTTTAGAATGATTTATATAAAATACTCTATAAGAAATAAGTATTCAACAAAATTACAATAATTGATTGAATCATTATTTAAATTTATTGAGGACATAAAAAAGACATTACTATACTATTATGTGTAAATGACCTTTCTTTTGTGTATAATGAATATTCAAATTAATTTATTAACATCGACATTAAAAAATTATTATTAATGGATATTACAAGAGACACTTTTAGTAACTTGGCTTCTTTAAATTTGTATTGAAGATTGTTGATACACACAATTTTTTTTTTTTCAGTGGTGTTGATGTCATTGGATTACTGGAAAGTTTAAATATCAGTGAAAAGTTGTTGACACCATTAAAGGAGTCAAGTGCGGGATATTTTGCACTTGCATTTGCACTTTACAAATTGGTCACTCCTCTGCGATATGCTGTCACTGTTGGTATGTTTAGGTTAATTATTTAAATAATAGAAAATACATAAATTTATTTATATTTTGAGAATTAAACAATAAATTTCCCTTATTTAGGTGGAACAACTTACGCAATTAGGAAGTTACAAGCCCTCGGCTGGATAAGACCTGTGCCTTCAAGAGAACGAATAAAAGAGATGATCCAAGAAAAAAAGGAAAACCTGCAAGGACGCATTCATGAAAGTAAACAACATTATCAAAGTCAAATGAGAGAAAAGAGTACTCAGGTTATGGAAGAAATGAAAAGGTACAAAACTGAAATGCACAACATAAAGAACAAAGTTAAGAAGATGTGAATTAAAAAATGTCTTTATACTTTTAACTTTCTTTTTTAGCAAATTTAGACCGAAAGAATAAATTGCAGACGGCTACTTAAGTAGTAAGGGATGAAGGAAATCATAAAACTCTGTTATAATTTTGAATAGTTTATTGTTTCATATAATATAAATATAAAAGTAATGCTTAACAATTGTTTTATTTTTAATTATTTTATGATGTCATTATGAACAGTCACATGTCTAAACCAAAATGTACATATACAAACAATGCTAACTACATTAAGTACCTACAGACAGCACAAAACTGGAATGTTTTGACAAAGATGAGCCTTTCACCTAATTATTGTAACAATTGCGACCAGGTGTGCTGCCATTTCTACAATTGTTAACTTAATAAATGCATTTATATAAACAGTTACACCGCTAACCAACAATTTTCCATACTAGTTTTCATTCTCTAATTACAAACATTTTTTGAATCTTCAAACAAACCCTTATACCTCGATTTACAATTTGACCCAAACTGTTTAACCCTATCCAACAGAAAAAAAAAGCAAAATATCATCTAACATTATCACAAAGCATCATAGGCAATTATTGTAGTCAAATCACATTTGTCAAGATAAAAGTTCAGTTTTTTTTAGTTCAGTATTAACCAACAGCTGTAAAACAAGCCTATTTGTGACTTATAAAGTGGTAATTGGGATTGTATATTATTACTACTACTACTGTATCTTATTACGCCATATTAAATTGCTTTATAAGACGAATTAATAATAAATTACCTTTTTTGCAATTAATTAAAATAAAACCTACATTAAAGCCGTTTTTATTTTTCATTTGTTCATCTCAAATAATGTCGAAATTATTGAGCAAATCACGCACAATAGTATATTGCATGAATATTTGCTATTCCAAAATAAGATAAAAGCTTTGTAAATAAATGTCACACATCTTCTTTTTATACTAAAATTTGTACATTTCAAATCCATTGCTGTAAATAACCTTTCTTCATAATGTATCACGTTAACTATATTCAGGTTATAAAATAACACTAGTTTATATCACGATTTCTGAACAACATTTCTGATACAAATATAAATAAGTGGAATAAAAGTTATAAGTAACTAATTGTTTACAAAGTTTATGTCTTCATTTGTAACAGCATATTTCCATCGATAAGCAGTCTTAACCCATGTATTTGTAAGATGCGGGGGACAAGTGAGGCGCAGGAGGCATCCCGGGACCAGTGGCTGCTCCGATGGTGGCCAAGTGACATGCACGACACATCAACTTTCCTGGGGAGAAATATTAACATGCTATGTATAATTAACTAACTGTTACTCGCGACTTAATCCCCCGAGAAGTCAATAAATAATAAAAAATGTAGCCTATGTCACTTACTGATAACATATCTATTTAATGGTGAAAGATTTTTTAAATCGGCCCAGTAGTTTTTGAGTTATTCCATTACATTCAAAAAACCAAAAAAGAAAATCTCTCCTTATAACATTACTATAGATGACACATCTTATTTCTAAGTTTAAGAAACAGATAACAAAAATCTATAATTTATTAAATATACGTTTTTTAAAAACTCGTTAACTAGGCTTGTTACTTACCTGCTAGAGGATAACATCGTTTATCTGGCTCATCGGTGAGCTGCATGCCACACACACAGCACATATAGCAGTCAACATGGAAGTCCCGGTCCATTGACACCACTCGAACTGTCTCATCTGTGCCTTCCACTGGTGTGATACCTGGGTTTCATGCAAAACCTATATAAGTGGATCTTACAAAGAGATTCTTCTTCATTTCTAAGATGAACTATTTCAGCTATGTGTCATTCCAGCATAGGCTACTTTTATTTTAATTGCAAAGTCATAGATAACCACTAGAATAAAATATGTACGATTATCATCAACAGGAAATAGAAACAGATATTTTACATGTTTCAAGGAATATCTAAGATACACATTCAGTTGTAAATTCACACAAATTATATCAATTGCATTTAATCTTATCATCAAGGATTGCCTATGTTAGTTATGTTCTGATAAGGTAGTGATTGAAAAATATTTCACTTATACAACCTATTATTATAACATAATCAAAGTCCAAGTTAACACTGTCCAACATAAAATATATAAAAATCCCAATACCTTTTCCACAACTGGCACATTTTGGTGCAAACATGCGATGATAGTCATTCACACAGTAAATCTTGTTATCCACATCCACAGTGAAAGGAACTCCATCCAAACATTCATTGCATATGCAGCAACGGAAGCAGCCAGGGTGGTAAGACTTGCCCATGGCTTGCAATATCTGAAAAATAACAAATATGTATTTATTATGTTGTATTACATAATTATTCAAGATACAGTCATATACCTTACCATTTCCATGATTAAATGCCCACAAATTGCACATTTTTCAGCTGTCTGTTGGAAACCAGAGTACTAGAAAGAAATTAAATTATTAACAACTTTAATAATTAAAATAATTAGCATTAACTTGTGCCACATACCAAGTAATCTTCTTCACAATAAACTTTCCCGTGAACATTGTAAAAAGCTTTGCCCCGCAATGCACGGCCACAGGAGCAGCAAATGAAGCAATTAGTGTGGTACAGGTTGCCCATGGCCTGGCATGCTTGTCCTGCCCCAGTCACACCACCTCGGCATGTGTGACAAATACCTAATTTATAACAAACATTACAATAGTATACATTAGGTAGTCAAGAACATCTATGTTAGTAAACAACTTTTAACTATTACAACATACCAAAATATTCCCCATCTTCATCTTGTCTTTCCATTTCTTCTTCAAGCTGTCTAGTAAGCTCTTCAATTTTCCGCTGAGCCTCACTAGGACCTGGAGGCCGAGGTGGAGTAATACTGTAAGGCAGAAGGCTTTTTCCTCTACCACCAGAACCTCTTGAACCAGCAGACACCTGGGATACTGAACTTGGAGTAGGACTGGGAGCTGGGGATTGTGCTGGAGAACAAAGTGATGTCAGCCCCGATACCAAATTTCTAGATCCAATTGATTCAGATGCAAGTGAAACATTATCCCTGGTGGCTGCAGCCACGGCCGCTACTGAAGATCCACCCGTCATGCATACATAATCAGAGCCATTGGTATCATCAACAATTTGCATCCTACTGTTGAGTGGAGACTTTATATATCCTTCATTAACTGGTGCTAAAACCGGTGGTTTATCTTTACTCAGTCC